TTGATTCATTTTGAGTTAGTTTCTGTGTATGGTGTGAAGTATGGGTCGTGTTTCAGTTTTCTGCAGGTGGATATCCAGTTTTGCCTGCACCATTTATTAAAGAGACTGTCCCTGCCCCACCGAATGGACTTTGACCCCTTGTTGAAAATTAGTTCTCCATAGGTGGATGGGTTTAATTCTGATTTCTCAGTTCTATTCCACTGGTCAGTGTGTCTATCATTGAACCAATGCCAGGCTGTTTTGGTTACTGTGGCTGTACAGTATGTTTTGATATCGAGGAGTATGAGGCTTCCTGCTTTGTTCTTTTTCTTCAATATTGCTTTGGCTATTTGGAGTTTCTTCCCTTTCCATATGAAGCTGGTCATTAGTTTTTCCATTTCAGTAAAGAATGTTGTTGGGATTTATATAGGGATTGAATTGTATCTGTAGATTGCTTTTGGTGGAACTGACATTTTTACTATATTAAGTCTTCCAATCCATGAGCACAGGATGTCTTTCCATTTTTGTATGTCTCTTTTGGTCTCTTGTAGTAGTGTTTTATAATTTTCATTGTATAAGTCTTTTATGTCCCTGGTTAGGTTAATTCCTAGATATTTTATTGATATGGGGGCTACCGTAAATGGTATGGCTTTCTTGGTTTCCTTTTTGGAGTAGTCTTCATTAGTGTACAGGAACCCAACTGATTTTTGTGCATCGATCTTATATCCTTCAATGTTGCTAAATTCTTCTATTAGTCTCAGCAGTTTTCTTGTAGAATCTTTGGGGTCGTCTATGTCTAGGATTGTGTCATTTGCAAATATAGTTTTACTTCTTCCTTTCCGATTTTATTTCTTTTTCTTGTCTTATTGATCTGGCTAGGACTTCCAGTACAATGCTGAATAAGAGTGGTGATAATGGGCATCCTTGTCTCAGTCCCAGTCTCAAAGGAAAGGTTCTCAGCCTTTTCCATTGAGTATAATACTGGCTGTTGATTTTGTATATACCATATTCTTACACATATAACACACGTTATACATTTTTTGTCAACCGCGCAACTCCCCTTTGCTATTTTTGTAAGTGAGCTATGCCAAGTGTCATATGTGTGGATGTGTTATTTACGTGGGCACATTATTTGCAAAAAAATATGGTATGCTCTTAATTATGTTGAGAAATTTCTCTTCTATTCCCATTTTGCTGAGAGTGTTTATCAGGAAATGTACTGAATTTTATCAAATGCCTTTTATGCATCAATTGATACGATCATATGGTTCTTTTCCTTTGTTTTACTTATGTGGTGGATTACATTGATTTTCTAACGTTGAACTACCCTTGTAATTCTGGTATGAATTCCACTTAACCATGTTGTATAATTTTTTTGATATGTTGCTGAAGTCTGTTGGCTAGAATTTTGTTGAAAACTTTTGCACGTATGTTCATAAGGGATTTTGGTCTATAATTGTCTTTTTTTGTGATTTTTTTTTGCCTGGTATTGGTATCAGCGCTATGCTGGCTTCGTAGAAAGAATTCAGTAGTGTTCCTTCCTCTTGTATATTTTTTAAAGAGAATAAGTAGGATTGGTGTCAACTCTTCTCTGAATGTTTGGTAGAATTCTCCAGTGTAGCCATCTGGGCCTGGGCTTTTTTTATCTGTTATTGGCAGTTTTTTGATGACACCTTCACTCTCTTCTTTTGAAATAGGTTTGTTTAAATTTTCTATCGCTGTTTGTGTTAGTTTGGGTAGGTAGTGTGTTTCTAGGAATTTGTCCATTTCACCTCTGTTTTCAGATTTGTTGGAGTACAGTTTTTTATAGTAATATATTATGATCTTCTTTATCTCTGTTGGGTCAGTTATAATGTCACCAATTGCATTTCTTAATTTGGTTAGTTATGTCTTCTGTTTTTTTTTATTTTATCAGTCTATCTAGTGGTTTGTCTATTTTATTGATCCTTTCAAAGATGGTGGACATGCATTGAATGAATGAATGGTTCATTTAGATTGTCCTTATATCTGTTCCCCTTTTTCTTTCATACTTCAACCACTATCGGAAAAACGCTTATCATTTTATACCTAGACTATTTTAATATCCTGTTAATTATATTTCCAACTTAAATCATCATTCTGATCCACTTCATTCTTCACTATATCATATCAGTCTTGCTAAAAAAACTAGAAATTGTTCTCCTTCATTAGGAAGTTAAGTCAAAACCCTTGATCTTGTGGTTACAATGCCTTTGAAATCTGGAATCAATAGATTTTTGAAACTTACAAAGTTCCTTCACAGGAAACTTCCACTCCAGTCGAACTGGTTGATTTGCTAATCTGTAAAAATGTCACATCCATGCATATCAGTCTACCTTCTCAGAAAGCATCTTTCTCTTTATGTATAATTGCTAAACATAATCTTACTTGACATGCCATGTCAAATCTCATTGCTTCCATATAGTCTTCCTTTTACCCCAGCTAGATAAAAACATCATGCTCTTAAGTGGGTATTAGAGCCAGAGAGACTGGCATTTGACTCCCAATTCACCTCTGACTGGGTGACCTCATTTTTCTTATCTGTAAAATAAGAATATTAACACTCACCCAAAAGGATATCATCAGTAAATGAAATAACTCATGTAAGGTATCCTGACATGATCTTTTGATCTTGCTTCAAAACCAACCAGCTATGAAATACATTTTGGGGACGCTGAGTAAAGTTGAGTATAATCTAGAAAATAGGTGATATTTTGGAATTAGTACACATTTCACTTTGTGTGATATTGATATTATCATAATGTGGGATAATGTCCTTATTTTTGGAGATATATGTTGAAGAATTTAGGGGTGAAATGTTATGATGTCTAAAATTTACTTGGCTAAACCAAAAAAAAAAAAAAAAAAACGCGTTGCCATTGAGTTGATTCTGACTGATAGCAACCCTGTAGCACAGAGTAGAACTGCCCCATAGAGTTTCCAAGGAGCAGCTGGCGGATTTGAACTGCCAACCTTTTGGTTAGCCACTGAACTCTTAACCACTGCACCACTATGGTCCAGCAAAAAAATATCTATTTATCTAATTAGTGCTTAACACAAGTGTAACTAAATAATTAATCATGAAATTAAACAAATAACTATGTATGAAAATTAGAAGTTATTTTATTTGGTTAGATAGGAAGTTTGGGGGGGTCAATGAGTTTACATTAATGGGGGAGGAACAATTTGCAAATAGGGAGTGAGAATGATTACACAACTTCAAGAATGTAATCAGTGTCATTGTATTTTACACATAGAAATTGTAGAATTGGTGTATATTTTGCTATGTATATTTTCGACAATAAAAAAAAGAAAAAAGTTGTTTTATTTCTGGTTCTACTTGAACAATGTAAGCTATATGAGTATAATGACTAGGTCTGCCTAGGTCACCACTAAATAGCCAATCCATGGCATGTAGCCTTCAGCAAGAAGGTGCTTATAATAAATTTAAAACTAACAAATAGATAAAAATGGAAGAAAATATCCTAAAATATTAACACTTGTTGAATCTAATTAATGGGCATATAAACTTTCATAAACTACTGCTTCTATTTTCCTGTATGTATGAAAATTTTCTAAATAAATCTCTAATTGTAATGACATGTATTCATTTGACTTAGAAACCGGGCACTAATAAATTATAAATATAAAATGCCTGATAAATAGTAGGTGTTAAATAATTGTCATTCTCTTTCATTATAGCACTTTTTTCTGTTACGGTCACTTGACATTATCTTTCCAAATAAGCAACACAATTCTAATGGACTCTCTTCTCCATGTGTTTCCTTCTTTCCACCCACCAAAGTTTAGAGCACCTTGCCAGAAAGTAAATAAATGTCTATTGGATGAACGAATGGCTATCCGTAATTTTCATTCCTAGAGAGAAATTTTAATCAACCAAAAAAACAAAGGACTATACGCCTGTCCCTAACCTACTGGGAGTGTTTCTTTTATGTAACGGTAGCTTGTGAACTTCTTGAGGGAAAGAGCCTTTTCATATACATAGCACGGTGCCAGATACACTCATTGGACATTTACTGAATTCCTGAATGAATGATTACATGAATAAATGGTATTAGTTAAACACTTTAAGCATCTCACAGATTTCCATTAGATGCCACTGACAAAATAGAAAACAGAGTTTAATTCCTTCTACTCCCTATGCTGACGTCTTCAATGAGGCCTTCACGTTTGTCGGTTCTTAAATAAGAGTAAAAGATAGTCAACTGAAACCCGTGGACAAATCTAAGATAAAAGGCTGGGAAAATAAAAATAACCAACTAACCAAAGACTGATTCTGTCTATTGCAGGTAGCCAAAGCAAAGAAAAAGGATTGGGAAGTGAGAAGACAGCTTCAACCAAAGACATTAAAAATAACAGAATTTTAGAGAAGCCAGGAGATGGAGTTTAATAATCTTATTTTTCAAAATAAATTTTGAAGTTATGTGACTTGTTCTAAGTAAAAAGTGCAGGTTCTTGATGCTTAAAGAATTAAGATACAATCACTCGAGTTACTAACCCGATCTCGAGAATGAAAATGTAAAAGCATTATTGATGTAGAAATGAACCTAGGCACACTCTAAAAATTGTTGAAAGCTAGATTCTAGCATTATTAGCAGGGACAACATTTTTGTCTTAGAGCTACACTGATAATTCTCCCAGCCTAGCTCTATCTGTACTCCCTCCTTACAACCTATTATTCCTTACTCTTTCCCAGAGAGACTGAAAAAGACAGAGCAAGAGTGAGAGAAAAAAAAAAGAGAGAGGAAGAGAGACAGAGAGAGGAAAGCTTAATGTGTGTAAAAATGGGTGACATGCATGCTTTGAAGTCAGTCACTTATGGGAAGAAAGAGAAGTACAATGGTGAGAAATGTTTGGTTTATAGTTTTTGTTTAAAGATGTAAAACAAAAGCAAGACAGATTTGAAAATTTTTCTTCAGTATTATTTTATTCAGCGCCAATATATCTTACAAATTAGAATAAAGAAAATGGGGTCTACTTACCCATTCTGTATGGCGGCTGTGGGGTCATAGGTCAGAGCCATGCCAGCCTGTGTATAGAGGGGAGAGGGAAGAAAACAGATCTTAAAATTTTTATTGTGGTGTCCAAAACATTTAGTACGCACAAAGACTTTTATCTTTACATACTGTCATGGTTTCAATTATGTCCCCCAAAAAATGTGTGTATCAATTTGGCTAGGCCATGATTCCTGGTACCATGTGATTTTCCTGTATGTTGTAAACCTGCCTCTATGATGTTAATGAGGGAGGATGGGTGGCAGTTGTGTTAGTAAGGCAGGACCTGATCTACAAGACTGGATTGTCTTGAGGCAATCTCTTGAGATATAAAGGACAGAAGTGAGCAGTAAGACAGGGGGACCTCATACCATCAAGAAAGCAATGCTGGGAGCAGAGCGTGTCCATTGGACTGGGGTCCTGGTGCAGAAAAGCTCCTAGTCCAGCGGAACACTGAAGAGAAGAAGGCCAACAGAGAGAAAAAGCCTTCCCCTGGAGCTGACGCCCTGAATTTGGACTTTTAGCTTACTTTGACTGTGAGGAAATAAATTTCTCTTCATTAAAACTGTCCACTTGTGGTATTTGTGTTATGGCAACACTAGATGACTAAGACACATACCATGATTTAAGTTTATTTTCTCCTATATATTTCTCTACTCTTACTGCCAAGGCTAGCATTTTTACTACTCACGTACCAGGCCCACCAGTGAGTTAGGGAGTTTATATTGTATATCCAGACAAATCTAGGAACAAGGCAGCTTGGATGAGTTCCATTCTTCTTTCATAAACCATCCGCTGTCTAACAGGACATAATTAAAATTTCTCACTGCTGTCAAAAGCACCTATCATACAACTCATGGCATAAAAAAAAGTAATAATGAAGCCTGCAGTTAGGATAAAAATAAAAGCCACTAAAAATGTATTTGACCTTTTAGAAGAACATGTTCAGAAATATGTATTTTTAAATAGATCATATACCTCAGGTATGTAAATAATGAGTCACACAGCGCTTGTGGGTTACATTGCTAGTGTCTGTCCTACTAAGAGTTGTAGAAACTGAAGGTGATTTACACATGATAGAAATTCTAGGGCATGTGGTTAATAAGGAGGTGGTATTGTTCTGTTTGGAGTCCTGGTGGCACAGTGGTTAAGAGCTCAGCTGTTAACCAAAAGGTCGACAGTTTGAATCCACCTGCCGTTCCTTGGAAACCCTATAGGGCAGTTCTACTCTGTCCTATAGAGTCGCTATGAGTTGAAATCGACTCGACAGCAATGGATATTGTTCTGTTTCTAAGAATAATAACCATCGCTGCAAAACTACACTTCTGTAATCTGGCAGAAGTTTCAGAAAAAAATAGAAACTTTAAGAGTGCTGATTCACAGCCTATCTCGCCTTTCATACACATCATCACATTTGATCCTTACAACAACCCTATGAAGTGGGCAGGAGAAATATTTCCTCCATTTTATAGATGAAGACACTGAAGCTTGGAGAGGTCAAGAGACTTGCTCAAGGTCACACAGGTGGCAGAACTGGATTCCAACCCAAGTCTTCCCATATGGGTTCCTTTCTACTCCTCTACTATGACATTGACCTAGGATTTGAATGAGACCTGAGGGTCATCTCCAGCAATGTGGGAGATGGGGCCTTCTGGACATACCACCTTCTGGTTTCCAGGACTGTTAGCATGGTCACTGTTCATAAGCAGGAACAGAATGTGGAACAAAATTTGAAACTGCCTACATTGTCTTCAGGGTGAATTTGCTGTTGTTATTTATTCTTGAAATTTAAAAGTGAATTAGACCAATGTCAATTTTCTGGCTTTGACAGTGTAATATGCAAGATGTTACCATTGGGGGGAACTGTGTGAAGGATACACAGATCTCCCTGTACATTTTTTGCAGCTTTCTATGAAACTGTAATTATTTAAAAATAAAAAGTAAAAAAAAATGCAGAATTAGCTTTGAGGGCATTTACAGAGGAAAAGAAACACCATAACAATTTTAATGAAAAGTAAGAGAGCTTTCATGTTTGAGTTTTTCCAGTGTGGTTGAAGGTGGTTGTCTTACTGAACTAGGTGAGTTCTTCAGATGTAACATATAACTGAAATAAAAATTTGCAGGCTTCTTAACCTAGGGCCTAAAGTCCAGGGTGGCTGGTTACATTCAAGTTCAGATATGCATACATTATTTTCCCTAAGTAGTAATAAAAATACATATCTTATTAAGACTGGCATGAGGAACAAAAGTGTATAACCATATATAAACAGAAATTGGTAGAAAGAGAGCACACATAATTGTAAATGGAGTTGGCAAATAAAGTTGAGATGGCTGTCAGAAGATAAGAGAGTTGCACTGGGAACACATGTTTAACGATAACTGTATGATCTCGCTAAACTTAATGATCTCACTCATGTTAAAGAAATACGCAACCGACAATACGATAGCTAGGGGACTGGGAAATGAGCAGAGGAAACAATGAAGATTCTTGCTTTTTATCTTGGGAGAGACACAGGTAGTGGTGTCAAAACACACTGAGATGCTCGTGAGGAGTGTGCCTCTTAGCTCAAGTAGATACAAGAGACCAAACAGGCAGCTTCTGCCCGGAGGTGAGATGGGAAGGCAGAGACGGTTAAGCTGGTTGAATGAACATGGGGAATCAGGGGTGGAAAGGAGGAGTGTGCTGTTGCAGTATGGGGTAAGCAATTAGGGTCACATAACAATGTATGTATAAATTTTTGTATGGGAGACTAACTTGAAATGTAAACTTCATTTAAACTACAATAATAATAATAATAATAATAAAACACACTGAGATGCTAAGTCTAAACTCTTCCCTGGGAGGAAGCCTCTGCCACATTACTAGCAGAAGCCTGGCCCTACTGAAGATTCCCCAGAATGGAGCTGTTCAGGACTTAGCTGAAACTCCATGGCCCTGGGTATTGGAGATGGCAGTTGTAAAAGCTGTTTATGTGAGATGAGATTCCTTTTAGGAGCACTGAGCTTCTCCCCTCTAAATTGTCCAAGATGCCACACTAGAAGCAGAAGCATGCTGAGGTTAGCAGAGATACTGTTAGATCTTGAAGGATTTAGGATGATAGTCATATCTTCAGCCTCCTAACTACCCCAAATTGTTTAACTCATGAGGCACTTAACCAGAAACCTTTCCATAGTTACTTCGTTTCTCTGTACTTACTTTCCAGTAGTGCTATAGACCAATGCTATCTAGCCCTTCTTGAATAGTCTCTTCTTATGTCATCCTTGTTTTGGTAACTTTTAGTTAAGAATTTTTTTTTTCCTCACATTTCATTTGAATTCGTCATGGATTCTAGTTAACCAGTCACTTCTAGCTAAGAAAATACAGTAATTATCAATAAACTCTAGCTCTTTGTTGAATATGTATTTGATAATCATAAAAACCTAAGTTGGTCTCTTCCTCCATCTTAAATCTTCACCACCTCTTTTGAGATGGGTAATAACTGAGTAGGTAGCAATCTGTAGAATGGAAAGAATGTATGTTCTGGAGTCAGACAGACCTAGGTTAAAGACCTAGCTCTGTTACTTCCTGGAAGTGTGACCTTGGGAAAATTATTTAACCTATTTGAGCCTCAGTTTCCTCAGTTGTTAAATGGTATGATAATATCTACCTCATTGGATTGTTGTGAAATTTAAATGAGATTACATTTGTAAAACTCCCAGAACAATGCCTACAGATAGGACACATACATAAAAATTATAATACAAAGCAATATGTGGTAAGTGTCACATGAGTGGTATGCTTTAGGTGTGGAGAAAAGAGGTTGGGGGCGATCAGGAAAGGCACATGGAGGAGGTTCAACTGAATGGAGCTTTGAAAAATAAGTAGGATTTCCATAGATGAAGATGAGGGATGAAGGCCAGTTCAGGCAAAAGGAATAGCATGGGAAAATGTGTGTAAATAAAAAGGGAAAGGTGGCTGTGGCTGATCCTCCTGCAATAGAACGTGTAGGGAGGCACAGTGGGAAATAAGACCCAAAGAGTAAGGAGGGAGGGTCTTGACTGGCAGGCTTCTCTTGGGGAGCCAGTGAACATTTCTGAGCGGTAAGTTATACAATCAAAGAGGGACTGGGCAACAGGAAATAGCAGGAGCACCCTGAAAAACAGGGTAAATCTCAAGCAATGGGCAACTGGAGTAGGCACCTGGAGACAGTGAGGTGTAGAGAATCTAAGGTGAGATTATCATTGCAAAAGGGTAGGGAATGAACACAAGTTTCATCCACTTCATAATTTTGCCTAGGGTTAGCCCTGCCTCTGAGTACCGTGGGCAAGAGGAGACAACAAGAAATGGTGTCAGGTCATACGTATTTGGAATCTTCTGGATAACAAAACAAAGCGTGGGTTAAAACATGGGTGTTTTGAATTTAACCAGTTGGCTGAATATCACAGCACAATGACTAACACTCTGCTGCACCCAGTTTCTACTTCATGTGTAACAGACTGTTGAGGTATAATTCTAACATGGTCTTAATGCAGATTTTGCATTCTTTTCTTTTGTTTCTTTTGATAAAAGTAAAAAAGAAATTGATTTTGCTGCTCTGTCTAGCCACCATTTATACTAAGCTAGAACCATAAAATCATCATTCTGTAACTACCAAATATTAAGGCATGTTTACAAACTCCAGAGTCACACAAAAAGTAAAATAGCTTGGAACAAAATGAAAATGTCACACCACATATGAAGAAAAGTGATGTTTAATACAGTTGCTTTCTTTCAAAAAAAGGCTTCTCTCAGTAAATACTAAATTCACAAATATTTTCCATTTTTCAGCTTCACATTATTTGTATATTGAAGGTACTTATAATTTATTTAAAATATAAGGGTTATTTTTGTCATTTCTCAATAGCTGCTGAGTTTTGGCTTAGTATTTCAGCCATAAAAGGGAAAATTTCTAAGCTTCCCAAACAAAATCCATACTATGAGAGCTAAATATTTTAGAAGAAAGTTTAAAAATAACCCTGGCCCAGACAGCTTCACTGGAGAATTCTACCAAACATT